TACGCTTCCACGTATCGGGAGTGGCGCAGATCATATCACTTCCAAGTGTACTGGTCTGAAGACAGCACCGGAGGCACCACAATGGATCCTATAGCCACGCCCAGTTCCTATGTGTCCTATCACGTGTGGGAGTACCGAGACTGGCAAACGCGAGGGTACCAACGACTTGGACCTCCTGTCCAATCCATCGGATTCGCGATGCTCGTCAATGCAGACATCGAGTCCTCGGTGGGCTCGTCGGTACCGGATGGGGCGTGGCGGGAACCGTCACCGCCGCCATTCCATGATCCTTGGAATGATTCGGATTGACACTTGAGTAGCATGTTGGATAAAGATGCGGTTGTGCTTGCTTTGTATGTGAGTTCTCATTGGGTTGTCTTGCTTGGTGCTGTGCATGTCGTCTCTATGTGTCCGCCGCTTTCCGTGATAACTTTGAGCGGCTTGTCGGGTTGAAATGTTCAATAGTACGGTGCAGGGTGCAGCACGATGGGTCCTACCTCGCTATTTTGACTATGACATCGTCAATGGGCCAGCAGGAACGAGTGTGGAATGGATTCGAATCTATGTACCGGGTCAGTGGCATCCAGCATTCTGGGACCGGCCCCGGATGACCCGACCACCTATCGGGAATGGCGCAAGGTCCACCACTTCGAAGTGTACTGGCCCAGGGAAAGCACGGGCGGCACAACTATAGGCACGGTTCTGCAACCGGTATCCTACGCCACCTTCTACACTTGGTGTTACAGGGACTGGGTCACTAAGGGGTACCAACGCCTGGGTCGTCCACATCCCAGCATAGCGAGGCCAGTTTTAGCTTCGGGTGCACCGGACCTCATGTATGCTGGATTGACCTCCTCCTCGGCATCATCTAATTCACATGATAGCTGATGCCCGTCCTCGCCTTCCTGGAGAGTCTGACTTTGATGTTGGCGCCGCACAGTGCTACAAAAGTGGTCTTTTGCATTATGATAGTTGATTTGCTTTCACTCGTTGTTGTCTGCAGCCGTACACCTATCAACTTGTCTTTCCGTGGTTGCGTTGTCATGGCGTGGCTGGAATGGTGCCCGGACCCTCAACAACCAGATGCCCAGTGGGTCAAGATCTTTCATCCGGGACCATGGACGCCACAAGAAGAACATGATGCTCCACCTCCTCCGCATACTTTTAGAGAATGGAGGGAGTTCTATGCTCCCAACCAGGACTCAGTCGAAGGGCAAGTCCAAGTCACTACGTGGTACAAACGAGACTGGGCCACAGAGGGCTATCGGAGAATCGCTGCCCCTCACGCTGGTCATGAATTTGATTCCATGTATCCCTCCGATCATCACAGCGTGGCCACGCAGTCTGCGGCATTGAGTATGTCGCCGGAGCTGTTAGACGCGATTCTCAGGTCCTCGGATGCGGCTGATTTCTCCACTGAAGAACTGACTCGTCTCCAGGAGGGGATTTCTCAACAACTGACGGCCCGCGCACGTCTGGCCTCCCATCCTCATCAACCAGTACGTGCATCGCGTGGAAACACACCATCGGAGACGATTGGGGTCTCCGACCCCTACAGGCCCGTGAATCCTTCCGACAGCGGCCAAGACAAGATGAGTCCCGTCTTCGAGCTGACTGAAGACTAGACTTGCATGAGCAGCGCAGCGTACAAAATAAGGGTGGCCTCTACACTTGCATGATCTTGCTTGCTGTTGTTTGAACATGGTTGTGCATGGTGCTTGTTCATCTACTAGCTGGATCGGAGCCCGCGACAATCCTTGCCTCTTGCCTCGACATGGACATCGATGATTCGAAGCAGCACCCATGGCTCGAATATTCGGTCTGGCATGATCAGGAGTGGGTGCGGATATACACTCCAGGACAACCTCAACGATGGCACCGCGGTGACGCCGTACCTGATCTACCTGAAAATTCTTTTCGTGAATGGCAGCGGGTGACGGATCCCGATGCGCCAGTCCAGGCATGGGACATCCGTGACTGGCAACACCAAGGGTGCCAGCGCATTCTGTCTCGGATTGAGTCCTTCGCAACTCACTATCCACATGATCAGACTCTTGGTCAAGTTCGAAACTCCGATGCCGTTCCAGTTGAGGAGACCTTCACCTATGCCACTCCGTTTTCTCATGGTGATCGCCCGGCTGCTTCGCAAATCGCTTCAGTCCTCTATGGCGACACTCGCAATGCTCAACGTGGTGATCTTTCGTTCCCGTCTTCTGAGCGGTTTAGGGCGGTGTCTCGCTCCCCTCGCCGTGGAGGATATTTTGGTCAACGATAGAGATTTGAGTTTGAGCATGTGATCTTCCTGCAGGAGAAAAGAGAAACCTCGCCCCTCGTAGAGGGGCGTGTGTGTGCGGAGTGGCAGAAAACCCTGCCACCAAAACCGTTTTCTGTTGCAGCAGGGGGCCAGCGGCCATCAAGCAAACGCTGGCCAACGAAGCTATGCTTGATGGTGGATGCACGGATTGATCACCCGTGTGTACCTGCAACATTTGCGTGATTCTGAAAGTCTATTTGGCCCCTTGGTTGCGGCGCTGTGTGTGCTTCATGTTGGAACTGGTAACGTTTTCGCCTCTAGAGGGAAACCGAGTGCCTTGCGAGCCGAAACTCATCCTACTCGAGACTTGTCGGTTGTACTCGAGACTCATCAGTTGTACTCGAATGATTAGCATTCTCCATCTGGAGTTCAAGTGTGTGTGTGTGTGTGTGTGTGTGTGTATCTTTTGGGGGAACGCCTGTTACGCAGAAGTTGTATCCAACTGGTTGGGGGGGAATGAATGGAGCAAAGGGGTCCTATTCATGATTCGCAAGGCTTGACTTGTGAATCTGAAAGCAAGCAGCTAAGTTGTTGTTATTACTTTGTTGTTTTGTTGTTTGCCGTGAAACCCGAGGGAAGCATCGAAGAGCAAAGATATTGTGAACATCAACGCTCACATTGCGCTTGCGTGGCGTTGTTTGCACTGGGTACCTCATGCCCAAAGGCTGAATCACTGAAGTGGGCCTCTCTGGGTGAATAATATTTCACCAACCTGGAACAAGGTGATTGGGGGAATATTCCCACATAAACCACCATTTGGGGTGAATTCGGTCGTGTGAGGTCGAAAAAAAGTCACCCAGACCTATGGTTCTGCGTGGTGTCACTCCAAGCCTGTCAGCTCTGATAGATTGGCCCCAGGGTTCCGTTTTTTGACTACCCCAAGGCAGACTTAAACCCAGGGGTGGTTGATTCCCCCAAAAGAGAAACCCCTGGGTTTAAGTCTACCCCAAGGAGGTCAAAAAACGGAACTCTGGGCCCTGCACCCTGCTTGGGGCATGGCATGATAGCCATCAAGCACCGGGAATGGTAGAATACTCCCGCGACCCCAAAAACAAAGACAAAAAAAAGAGATGTGCCTTCGTAACGGCTGCGGTGATCAGACGCGAAAGGCGAACTTTCAGATGGCCATGGGTCAAAATCGTCCCCCCAGCGAACATCCCAATCCCAACTGAACTAAAGCCTAAGGGTGGGTGGTGAACTCACCCAGCCCCATGGGATCCCATTTCTTTTGACCCACAGCTGCCCGGGTTCGGAACACATGAGACGCTCAGTCAAGCCGATCGCCGCTCAGTCGCTCGGACGCCCCGCGGGCAGAAGGCGCGATTTCGCAGCAGCCCGTGGCCTAGGCAGGCGGAAGTGATGGGGGGGGGGTTACTAGGGAGGGGGGGACGAACCAAAGCGAAACAAGAAGAACCAGCTGAAGAGGAAGCCATGGGATTGTCGAACAAGCGCATGCTGAACACAATTTGGCCCCGGTTTATCAAAGCTGAGTCATGCCCTGAGGCTGCAGGCTGCGGCGAAAACAGCATCCAGGAGGTCAAAGGGAAGGCTGAAGCGGAAGCCACACCTCGGCTTCTGCCTCTCAGTTGGTCTGTGGCCCTGGAAAAAAAGGGAACCCTTTTTTGGGAAGACAACTTTTAGCGCGGCAGCCACCCCCCCAAAAAAAGAAAGGACACAGGGTGCCACGAGGCAGAAACAGAACAGGCTCAAAAGATGGGATTGAGCCTACATGAGACAACAAGATAGCCTAACTTGTGCAATCACAATTGTCCGGCGGAGGGTTTTGCAGTGCAGGTTCCCCACCCCCTGCACCCCAAGGATGGCAGGAAAGGCGCAATTCTCCCGGGCACCCGGCGTCATCTCTTCTAGAAATCTCTCGGATTAGTGTGGTCCTCCTGATTAAACGAAGTTAACATTCCCAAAAAACATATTGTTGTTGTTCTTTTTTCCGCAGCACAGGTCATGCTGTGCCCACGCAAGGGTCGAGGCACATAGGGCACGGCAGGGAAAATGAGTGCGTCCCTTGGTTTTGCGGACATTTCCATGATCAGCACTCCATATCCCTCCCAAATGGACCCTAGACTACCCTCCCTGCCCGAAGGGGGGTTGCTGGCTTGGACCATTCCTTTCACAGGGATCTGGTAAGCTTCGTGTTTGGGTGGCAATTTTGACCGATGAGTCACTTCGCCTAGGCCCCGCGACCTGCGCGCAGTTGGACCTGGGCCGATGTGCCAAAATGGGGGTTCCCCATTCGGTTGCTCTAAAAGGACCACCCCAACCAGGTTATCCTCCAAAACCCCAATCAACACGCATACTGATATCCGATGGGTATGATCTTGTGTGGACGACCCTTTGGTGGCGGATCCTTCACCAGCAAGGTGGGATGTGCGCGAAACTTGATGCTTGCAATGGACAAACCCTCTCAAACGGAACAAGCTTGACTTCCAGGAGCACAACCTCTCTCACTTGTTTTCAAGTCACAACCATTGATTCTCGGTTGCTTTCTGATCCCCTGCTAAAAGTTTAGCTTTCTATGGTTTAATGGAAAACCCATCCAAGCAAAATGCACCTGTGGATTGATCAAACAAACTCGTTCCCCTTGCGTCCCTATGCATTCCCGAGCTCTGGCACTCGTTGCCCGAAACTTCTCGCGGCCCTCAATCGAGCGAGCGCTCGATACGTCGGCCTGCCATGTCCAGGGAGAAGCGGCGGCCTAACCTGAGAGAAACGACCCCTCTGGGGGGGGGGCTAGTTTGAGACTTAACAACGCCCTTGGTTCCCCTTAGGGAGTCATAAATAAAAGGTGATTGATCACCAGTTGAGAGTTTGACTACATGTGGACCAAAATTGAAAAACCAAAAGGTCAAAAGGTCAGGCTTTGGGCAACTAAGTTTGGGGCTACAGAAACTCAACATATCGTGAGGAATGCAGCGATTCGGAAGCTGTAACAACTCCTTTGATGCGACAAGAAACGTGCCCGGCTTGCTGAGTGTCTACGATGTCTCACCTCTGGCCTGTCGTTCGTTTGTTTTTTTCAAAATAAACGTCCCCTATGGGTAAATTCCTTTTGGTTTCCTTGAAATACCAGCCAAAAGGGGATCACCAAGTTTGAGAGGTGATCCTTAGGTGGTGGTAATGGTTTGTTTTTTACCCAAATTGTTGAACCCTTGGCTTCTTTTCAGGATAAAAATGTGAAGCTCCCCTCAACCCAAACAAACCTGCCAATTCAAACCGCCAATTCGAGGGAAACTGAAATTGTCGGATTTTCCGCATCGCTCTAGGGCTGTGGCGGCCAGTTCAACTCGCTGCGCAGCGGGTCGAGCAGCAAATCCACCTGAGAGCAGCCCACAAAACGTGCCGGGCGGGGTGTAGATAGGGAAAATGCAATTCCCCGGCTATTGGCGAAATAAAAGTGATTGATAGGGAACATGCCATTCCCCTGACCTATTGGCGAAATGAAACGGAGAAAAATAATTGCGCCATCTACTTTCGTGATTGGCAGGGCGAAAATGGCGCTGCCAAACACAACCGAGGGGGCGAAAGCTCTTGCAAGCTGCTTGAACCGCCCTCATGCCTACTTCAAACCACCTCATCCTCTTAGCGTCAAGGCCCGCGTTTGTTATCCCAGAAGAAGAAGAAAAACAATGAAAGCACAAGGGTCGTTGTAATTCACTGCTGTGCCTTTTGCGCGGCCACCATACTTTCGCGTAACCCACAAAGGTCGGGCTCAGTTCCACCTCACCCGACGGCCCGCCTCGTCCAGCAGCATGACACCCCCATGGAAGAGGTGCAAGACCTCCCCACACACGCCTCAAGGCTGCTCACTCGAACATGTCCCAACCGCGCCAGTCAGAAAGTTGCATTTGGCCTGTAAGCCTTGATGCCAGTTTGACAACCATGCTTCACTTGGCATGATTCTCCATTTCATCACCGCTCAAAGCGGCAGGGCGAGCCCTGTCCCTTCTTGTTTGGTGCTCCTATGTGCTCCTGGCCAGCTGCAAGTCGAACATGAATAAATGGCCTTGACATGTTGGTCATGGTGGAAACCCGCGCAGCGCAGCCATGGGTGGACATGTTTCACCACAAGGCGGGCTCTTGGCGCACATCAGTCGTTTCCAACAACGGACAGCTGAGATTGGATGTCACTATCCCCTTCGCTGCATGCTTCAGTCGCGTGCCAGTCAGCCAGACAATCCAAGACTCATGCTTGGTGAAAGTGCTAAAGTGCCCCTTAGGCCTTGTTTCTCGGCCATGGCTTCCTCCACGGGATTCAACCCGTGGGCAGTGAGTGTCCATATTTCGAGCGCATACCCAGCAACTCGCCGTGCAAGTTCGAAGCACTTTGGAGGAGTCACGCTCAGGCGAGAGCAAGCTTCGTCGACTTTGCTTTGATCCTTGCGGAATGCTTTCCACAGATCTTGACCTTTCATAGTGGTTTCCTTTCACTCCTACCTTCAAAGGGTACCCTTAAAAAAAAAAAAAATCAAAAAGAAAAAACGCAAACTGTTAAACCCACATGAGACACAATCCAAACCCGGGTGTTAAAATGGTACCTATTTATGGCTGGGATTGCCCCTTACTACCATGTGACTGATGGCACGAAAGAACCTCGACCTGCATAGTGGTTCCTCTTGGCTCTCAGCCAAGTAATTCAAAGCTTTCCAAGCCTGAAAGCTATGTCCCACATCTTTCAGGCTCGGTTGCATTCAGCAGTTGGCATGCTTCCAGCCATGCCTGATCCATGATCAGCCGGCCTGGACGGTGGAGCGGGCCACTTCGACATCGTCTTCGTTGGATGCCTCAGACGCATGCGCATCGCGCCGCCTGCGCAAGATTTTGGGACTTGCACCACGTCCCCGCCGCGCGCCCGCGCCGATGCCAAGTCCAACTCGCCGACTAGAACTGGACCAAAACATCACTGGCTCAACTTTGGACTTGGTTCTTGGGCGCTCGGGTCCTCAAGGGTTCCGGCCACCTCCGGAGACCGAGGGAAGGCACATGCAGCCTAGCCGCCGTAGAGAGCCACGAGGGCAAACGCAGCCAGCTGCCCTGACACGTCAGATGCTCAACCTGCAAAAAATAACCTTGGCAATACTAAAGTAAGCACTGGGAAGCTGAGAGCCAGCCATGGCAATACTGAAGTAGAATTGGCAATACAAAAGTAAGCACTGTCCCTCCCAAGGAGGTCCCCAGGATTTCACTCAAGAGGGTCCAGCTGACTGGTTCCACGGTTCAGGGGGGGGGGGAAGGGTCGCGTTAAAGAGGGTCCAACATTTTTTTGCCCGGCACAGGCGCACCGGAGTCTTGCTATAATTTTGTTGGTGGGGCAAAGGCCATGCATGCAATTCGTGCAGCGTTGCTGAGGGGTTGCCAACTTGCGTTTCCTGCTCCTTCTCCCGTAGCCTTGACTACTTCTGCCCTGGTTCCGCCCATGGACACGGTTGAAGACCAGCTAAGCCAAGCTTGAAGAGCGAAGCAAACAATGCACCCCTCCGCCTGAATCTGTCAAAGCAGTCCTGCCTTCTCCGACTCTGACCGGGCCAAATGCTGAGCCGTGCTGTGGTGCAGCCTGAACGCACGTAGTGGAAAGGGAAGCCACAGGATAAGATTTCGTCCCCACCTGCCTGCTGCCTTGACTACTATTCTGGGCTGTCCTCAGATCCTCTGCTACATGTTGTTTGTTTTGTCTTTATTAGTTTTTGTCTTTTTAGTTGGTTTTTGCTGGAAACTCCCACCAAACACCACAAAGATAAAAAGCCAAGGGGATGACTGGGAGCCAGCAAACGCCTTATTCAATAACTTAACAAGAAGAAGAACCCAATAAATCCAGAATATAAAAAATATACAGTTGTTTCTCTTTTCTCTTTATATCTAAATATATATAAAGGACCCCACGCAACCCGAACACCTCCCTGACACGGCCCCCAGACTCCAACAGCAGCTCGATGCGCCGCAGCAGCACGCTCTTCACCTAGGGGAAAAAGCGGCGTCCCAGCCAGCCGTTGGAGCAGAAATTGGGATCCCCATGCTACCGTGGATGGCTGCGACATCCATTTCGCACTGTTCAGAAACCCTGGTTTCTAATTTCAAAGGGGTGCGAAATGGAGTTCGTCCGTCCACAGTATGCTGCTCCGCTTTCCGGGAGTCCGCTTGAACATTCAAACTGAGGTCAACATTAGAGGCAGCAAGGAAGAAGTGCGGCGGGCTGCTGGGCTGCTAGAGGTTTAACTTCCGGCTGGGTTAAAAGGACACACCCTAAACCCTAATAGCCTAAAAACCTAAGGAACTGGACGGCCAGGAACCGCCAAGGTTGGCATTCACGATCCGAACCTTTCCTTAGGTCCCGCACGGAAGCGGGTGCCGCAATCACCGCCGCCTTGGGCCAATGGATGCAGACTCAGACTGCGCCGTGGGGAATAACTCTCAAACGAATTCCAACGGCAAGAGGCTGCGGGTTCCAAACGATATTCTGACACATTCCTCAGTTGCCCCTTAGGGGCAACGCACGCACTTGTCAACAAACTGGGGACCCAAGCAACTGCTTGGCTTCCCTTTCACTCCCTAATGAAGAACGAGGTGGAAAATGGCCCAAGCCATTGGATTTTGACGAAAAAATTGCCCAAAAAATGGAAGAACAAGGCCATCCTTTTGGGCCAAGGCGAAAAGAAAGGCCCAAACCATGGGAGAACCAAGACAACGTGTGCGCAACTGTTGGGCCAGGACGGGGAAAAATGGCCCAAACCATGGGAAAGAAAAAAACACAAAAAAGCGCGCGTTCCAGGTCGATCCGTTCTGGGCAACGGCATCGATCCATTCTGGGCTTCCCGGGCGCGGCCCTGTCGCGCCGCCTCCAGCTTGGCAAGGAGCGCCTTCGTCGCGGGCACCTGAGCGTCGCGGGCACCTGAGGCGCTTCGTGGGTGACTTGTCGAGCCGGGGGAACGGCGGGGCAAAGAGGCCAGCAACGCCTCCCCCGGCGAAAACAAGACAACCACTACACAAACAAACAAACAAGCAAGCAAGCAAACAAGCAAGCAAGCAAGCAAGCAAGCAAGCAAGCAAGCAAGCAAGCAAGCAAGCAAGCAAGCAGACAGACAGACAGACAGACAGACAGACAAACACTTGGCAAGACTTGCGCCTCTTCAGGTTGTCTTTCAATTAACTGAGTGCTCTGCATCCAGCCGCTCTGCCAAAACAAAGCTTTACCAGGCAATGCGCCGTTCAACGCAGCATGGTCAAATTTGGTGTGCCTTCAGGGACTTTGTAAACTCAATGCTTCCATCTGCTGGAGCTAATTACCTGGGAAAACACATGTTTCCTGTAGTCATTGGTTCCCTTTAAACCCAACCGGATTGGAAAAAACACATATTCTCAGGGCTGTGGCGTGCCCAGACCCCGGACCGGGCTCACCGGAAGCCGAACCTGGCGGTGGAACTCCAGCGTGAGCACTGGCCTGGAGGCATCGGATTGCTCGCGGAAAACGAAAACCAACGAGGGAAGGCAGCCGCTTTTGTGGGTACCCTCCCACCAATTAACATGCTGACAAAAGCTCCCTTAAAAGGAAAATGGTCCAAACCAGGCCCCCCGGTCAGGTTCCATGTTAACTGGTGGGAGGATGGGATCCAGAAAAATCGCCCGCGGTTGTGCTGTTTTACCTGTCACTGCCTGAGTCTGGCAAACAAAACTGAACCCTGCATGTCCTTCTGGGCTAAGAATCTATTCAGACCTTCAACCCCAAAACTGGCCCAAAACCCACAAACAGTACGTTTACCTTTGCCGTTCCCCAGATGCGGGTAGCGTCAGAATCCCTCTGCCTCTCCAAAAAAAAAGCGATGGCCCCCTCTTCAAAAGAAAATTTGGATACCCAGCTCCTTGGCTCCCTTGCAACCACCAGCTAGGCTGTGTTCTTTACCTGCTATGAAAATTAACCGTCGATCCTGGATGAAAGCTGCTGCATCTTTATTGGCCCAGTGCTCCCCGAAAGTGAAAGGATGAAGGATCCCCCCCAAAGAAAAACAATACAATCATCCCTCCCGGGTGGTATTGCAACAGCCTGGAACCCTTCTCAAAACTGTTTAATTATTTGCCACCAAAACGGATCTTCCCAAAATGAAAACTCGAAGAGTGAGCCAAACAAAGCGCAAACTGTGTATTTACCACAAAAAATGCCTTCCCCAGAGAAAAAAAAAAAAAAAAAAAAACAATTACAAAGAAAAAAACACTAAAGTCCAGGAACTCAGAGAAGCGAGCGAACGCGTTTCTTGATTTTCCCGGGGTGCCCGGTTTGGGCACGGAAGTCCCACCTGGGCAGCACCGGCGAGGAGAAGCGCTCCACCATGACGGCGCGGGACCTCAGCCGACACAAAAGAGTCACTTGCTCAAAACCGATCGGTACAAGAATGGTTGAACTCCTGGTTGATTGGGGGGTGTCCCCGTTTAGTGGTTGGACTCAGACCACTTTTGGAGGGAACACCACCCTAATAATGGGACGGGTTCTACTTAGATCCTGGATCAACTTTATTAACATGGTGAACCCAGAGCTATGCCTCAAGAATTGGTTCTGGCGGATATCCGCAGCGATTTTTCCGGCTGGGACTGCCCCTTACTAACCTTCATCTACCCGAATCGGTTTTGAGCACGTGGCTCACTTGTTGTAAGGTAGGTTGGGGGGCTTAGCTGAGTGGGATCCAGCCATTTTGCTGTGTGCTTGAGGATAAACTAGGCTGTCCTCAGATCCCCCGCTAAAAGTGAATAACTGTGAGTGGGCTAGTTAAATGGAAAACCCTACAAAACACTAGCAAGCTAAAGAGCTAAGGAACCGGATGGCTGGGAGCAAAGGAAACCACCCATTTTGCTTGGGTAGCTCGGCTTAGGTGTACTTGCGCTGGTTGAATGGACGGCCTTAGTGTACTGCTTGTCGTGGTCCCAGGCTCGAGGCCTCCATTTTGGGTCTCCCCATAGCAGGCCTTCAAGCGCCAAGGGCTCATACGCACATCTCACATGCCAGCGGCTAGCTGCGGGCGAAGTTGGCAGCAGGCGGCTGCAACCGACGCTATAAGCATAAGCGTCCTTTTGTGGAAAATGGATGGCCCTGGGAAATGGAATGAATCCCATCTAAGCCAGTGACATCAGTTTCTAACCGAACTATCCTTGAAGGGACACCTATGACGTTAAAATGAAACCAGTGGCCAGGCTCGATTAAGTCAATCTACTCATTTGCAAAAGTAGAAGGTCACTAAACATTGGCATTGCACTTGCCCAGCAACATATTTGTGACCGACCCCCTTTAAACCGCAATGCTGTGCCAACATGTTGCCGGTGATCAGTGCAACATTGCCGAATTCCACAACTTCACTGTTTGTTCCTGGCAAGTTGTTTTGCTTTTGGGTTTTTGGTTTTGTCTATTCTTCGATATTTTTTGTAGGGGGCTGCCAAAAACTAGCTGTTGTTTGTCGGCCCATACCACGGGTTGTGAAGAAAGAAGGCCACCGAATGGCACCCACTAGCCCCACCCCCCCTGTGGCTCGCGGCATGTCAAGCAAAGCCGCAGGCATGCATGCGGCGACCAGCCTGCGGTTCCATCGAATCGCGAAAAACCATCCCAGGCAGCCTGGACCCCGCTGTGAAAAGCCCCGCAAAACCCTGCAACCATAGGTGTCCTTGGTAGATGATCAAAACCACCAGGGAAACCAGGGCCATCTATTTTCCAGCAAAACAACCAAAAAGGACACCTATGCCTGCAACAACCTCCTTACTGCTTGGACAGCCCGTGCTTTTGCATCCCAAAACGCCTTGGTCCGACGTGTTTGACGCGCCTCCCCTTGGTTTCAGCAAGTTTTCCCACGCGCCGCCTGCGGCCATCCGCCAAAAGTAGGACCAGCAGTGGAGCAATCACCGTGGTCTTCCCCTCGCCCATCAGCATCTGCTGACACCTCACTCTCTCTGGCTTCCATCTGCTTAAGCCCCCTGGAAAAAATAATATATATATATATATATATATATATATATTTCCAGCAGTCCTAGATTCCCTTTAAAAAAATAACAGGGAAAATTACTAAAACCAAAAAAACAAACTATTCTTCAGCAAATGGAAGCTGGCGATCTGAACATCTGAAGCTTTTGCTGGGACCAACAGCACCAGAGTGAAAGTAGACGGCACACGTCCCGTGTGGGCAAAAGGAGATGACTCGATGACTAAACCAACATCGGGGAATTGGTCTTGCAAAGGGCACAAACGCTGAATCAAAGTCAAAGCCTGATCTAGAGTTCTGAACATCCCTTGGAGGTGAATGGATCAAAAACATTCTAAATGTATATATGAACAACCCCCCCTTCTTTCCGAAACAAACTTAAAGCCAACCGCGGAGCATAACTGGACTATGCGAAACACCACCCTGAAGCTATCCAGAATCGCGCTAAAATACCCTGCAAAAACTCTAAACCAAGACGTCCTACCCCCCCGAAACCCATTTGGGCTGGTCCACTTGGTTTCCCCCCTCGAAGGGTCATGAAAAACATCCCCCCCCGATCATCAAGCTGCTTGGCAACCCCAACGCGCAAACAAGAACCATGGGCTCACATTCCCAACCACCAATTGGGGGTCACCTGAAAAACCGCCGGGAAGAGCAAAACCGAGCGAGCTGAACCCCTCTTCCAAGAGCCCGGCACGGAACGGCCTGCCTGGCGCACGGGAGCGGGTGAAGATAAAACCAGGGGTTCGCGCGAACAGCACCGCTTTTACTTCCCAAACTTCCCAAGAACGTCAAACCCAGGAACTTGGTTTGAAAGTCAGCTGAGGTGCTGACAACTGAGGGAACTTGGCTTGAAAGTCAGCTGAAGTGCTGACAACTGAAGGAACTTGGCTTGAAAGTCAGATGAGGTGCTGACAACTGAAGGAACTTGGCTTGAAAGTCAGCTGAGGTGCTGCCAACTAAAGGAACTTGGATTGAAAGTCAGCTGAGGTGCTAACAACTGAAGGAACTTGGCTTGAAAGTCAGCTGAAGTGCTGACAACTGAAGGAACTTGGCTTGAAAGTCAGCTGAAGTGCTGACAACTGAAGGAACTTGGATTGAAAGTCAGCTGAGGTGCTGACAACGGTGCTGACAACTGAAGGAACTTGGCTTGAAAGTCATCTGAGGTGCTGACAACTAGAGTCGAACTTAATTTGAAAGTCAGCTGAGGTGCTGACAACTGAAGGAACTTGGCTTGAAAGTGAGCTGAGGTGCTGACAACTGAAGAAAGTTGGCTTGAAAGTCAGCTGAGGTGCTGACAACTGAAGGAACTTGGCTTGAAAGTCAGCTGAGGTGCTGACAACTGAAGAAACTTGGATTGAAAGTCAGCTGAGGTGCTGACAACTGAAGGAACTTGGATTGAAAGTCAGCTGAGGTGCTGACAACTGAAGGAACTTGGCTTGAAAGTCATCTGAGGTGCTGACAACTAGAGTCGAACTTAATTTGACAGTCAGCTGAAGTGCTGACAACTGAAGGGCCGTGGATTGAAAGTGAGCTGAGGTGCTGACAACTGAAGGAACTTGGCTTGAAAGTCAGATGATGTGCTGACAACTAAAGGAACTTGGCTTGAAAGTCAGCTGAAGTGCTGACAACTGAAGGAACTTGGCTTGAAAGTCAGCTGAAGTGCTGACAACTGAAGGAACTTGGCTTGAAAGTCAGATGAGGTGCTGACAACTGAAGGAACTTGGCTTGAAAGTCAGCTGAGGTGCTGCCAACTAAAGGAACTTGGATTGAAAGTCAGCTGAGGTGCTAACAACTGAAGGAACTTGGCTTAAAAGTCAGCTGAGGTGCTGACAACTGAAGGAACTTGGCTTGAAAGTCAGCTGAGGTGCTGACAACTGAAGGAACTTGGCTTGAAAGTCAGCTGAAGTGCTGACAACTGAAGGAACTTGGCTTGAAAGTCAGCTGAGGTGCTGACAACTGAAGGAACTTGGCTTGAAAGTCATCTGAGGTGCTGACAACTAGAGTCGAACTGAATTTGAAAGTCAGCTGAGGTGCTGACAACTGAAGGAACTTGGCTTGAAAGTCAGCTGAGGTGCTGACAACTGAAGAAAGTTGGCTTGAAAGTCAGCTGAGGTGCTGACAACTGAAGGAACTTGGCTTGAAAGTCAGCTGAGGTGCTGACAACTGAAGGAACTTGGATTGAAAGTCAGCTGAGGTGCTGACAACTGAAGAAAGTTGGATTGAAAGTCAGCTGAGGTGCTGACAACTGAAGGAACTTGGATTGAAAGTCAGCTCAAATGCTGACAACTGAAGGAACTTGGATTGAAATTCAACTGAGGTGCTGGCAATTGAAGGAACTTGGCTTGAACGTCAGCTGAGGTGCTGACAACTAAAGGAACTTGGCTTGAAAGTCAGCTGAGGTGCTGACAACTGAAGGACCTTGGCTTGCAAGTCAGCTGAAGTGCTGACAACTGAAGGAACTTGGCTTGAATGTCAGCCGAGGTGCTGACAACTGAAGGAACTTGGCTTGAAAGTCAGCCGAGGTGCTGACAACTGAAGGAACTTGGCTTGAAAGTCAGCTGAAGTGCAGACAACTGAAGGAACTTGGTTTGAAAGTCAGATGAGGTGCTGACAACTGAAGGAACTGGGCTTGAAAGTCAGCTGAGGTGCTGACAACTGCAGGAACTTGGCTTGAAAATCAGCTGAGGTGCTGACAACTCAAGGAACTTGGCTTGAATGTCAGCCGAGGTGCTGACAACTGAAGGAACTTGGCTTGAATGTCAGCTGAGGTGCTGACAACTGAAGGAACGTGGATTAAAAGTCAGCTGAAGTGCTAACAACTGAAGGACCTTGGCTTGCAAGTCAGCTGAGGTGCTGACAACTGAAGGAACTTGGCTTGAATGTCAGCCGATGTGCTGACAACTGAAGGAACTTGGCTTGAAAGTCAGCCGACAACTGAAGGAACTTGGATTGAAAGTCAGCTGAAGTGCAGACAACTGAAGGAACTTGGATTGAAAGTCAGCTGAGGTGCTGACAACTGAAGGAACTGGGCTTGAAAATCAGCTGAGGTGCTGACAACTGCAGGATCGTGGCTTGAAAGTCAGCTGAGGTGCTGACAACTGAAGAAAGTTGGCTTGAAAGTCAGCTGAGGTGCTGACAACTGAAGAAAGTTGGCTTGAAAGTCAGATGAGGTGCTGACAACTAAAGAAACTTGGATTGAAAGTCAGCTGAGGTGCTGACAACTGAAGGAACTTGGCTTGAAAGTCAGCTGAGGTGCTGACAACTGAAGGAACTTGGATTGAAAGTCAGCTGAAGTGCTGACAACTGAAGGAACTTGGATTGAAAGTCAGCTGAGGTGCTGACAACTGAAGGAACTTGGCTTGAAAGTCAGCTGAGGTGCTGACAACTGAAGGATCGTTTGAAAGTCAGCTGAGGTGCTGACAACTGAAGGAACTTGGCTTGAAAGTCAGCTGAGGTGCTGACAACTGAAGGACCTTGGCTTGCAAGTCAGCTGAAGTGCTGACAACTGAAGGAACTTGGCTTGAAAGTCAGCTGAGGTGCTGACAACTGAAAGAACTTGGATTGAAAGTCAGCTGAGGTGCTGACAACTGAAGGAACTTGGCTTGAAAGTCAGCTGAAGTGCTGACAACTGAAGGGCCGTGGCTTGAAAGTCAGCTGAGGTGCTGACAACTGAAGGAACTTGGCTTGAAAGTCAGCTGAAGTGCTGACAACTGAAGGAACTTGGCTTGAAAGTCAGCTGAGGTGCTGACAACTGAAGGAACTTAGCTTGAAAGTCAGCTGAGGTGATGACAACGAAGGAACTTGGCTTGAAAGTCAGCTGAGGTGCTAACAACTGAAGGAACTTGGCTTAAAAGTCAGCTGAGGTGCTGACAACTGAAGGAACTTGGCTTGAAAGTCAGCTGAAGTGCTGACAACTGAAGGAACTTGGATTGAAAGTCAGCTGAGGTGCTGACAACTGAAGGAACTTGGATTGAAAGTCAGCTGAGGTGCTGACAACTGAAGGAACTTGGCTTGAAAGTCAGCTGAGGTTGGCTTGAAAGTCATCTGAGGTGCTGACAAAAAGAGTCGAACTTAATTTGAAAGACTGAAGGAACTTGGCTTGAAAGTCAGCTGAGGTGCTGACAACTGAAGGAACTTGGCTTGAAAGTCATCTGAGGTGCTGACAACTGAAGGAACTTGGCTTGAAAGTCAGCTGAAGTGCTGACAACTGAAGGAACTTGGATTGAAAGTCAGCTGAGGTGCTGACAACTGAAGGAACTTGGATTGAAAGTCAGCTGAGGTGCTGACAACTGAAGGAACTTGGCTTGAAAGTCATCTGAGGTGCTGACAACTAGAGTCGAACTTCAATTGAAAGTCAGCTGAAGTGCTGACAACTGAAGGAACTTGGCTTGAAAGTCAGCCGACAACTGAAGGAACTTGGATTGACAGTCAGCTGAAGTGCAGACAACTGAAGGAACTTGGTTTGAAAGTCAGCTGAGGTGCTGACAACTGAAGGAACTGGGCTTGAAAGTCAGCTGAGGTGCTGACAACTGAAGGAACTTGGCTTGAAAGTCAGATGAGGTGCTGACAACTGAAGGAACTTGGCTTGAAAGTCAGCTGAGGTGCTGCCAACTAAAGGAACTTGGATTGAAAGTCAGCTGAGGTGCTAACAACTGAAGGAACTTGGATTGAAAGTCAGCTGAGGTGCTGACAACTGAAGGAACTTGGCTTGAAAGTCAGCTGAGGTTCTGACAACTGAAGGAACTTGGCTTGAAAGTCAGCTGAAGTGCTGACAACTGAAGGAACTTGGATTGAAAGTCAGATGAGGTGCTGACAACTGAAGGAACTTGGCTTGAAAGTCAGCTGAGGTGCTGCCAACTAAAGGAACTTGGATTGAAAGTCAGCTGAGGTGCTAACAACTGAAGGAACTTGGATTGAAAGTCAGCTGAGGTGCTGACAACTGAAGGAACTTGGCTTGAAAGTCAGCTGAGGTTCTGACAACTGAAGGAACTTGGCTTGAAAGTCAGCTGAAGTGCTGACAACTGAAGGAACTTGGATTGAAAGTCAGATGAGGTGCTGACAACTGAAGGAACTTGGCTTGAAAGTCAGCTGAGGTGCTGCAACTAGAGTCGAACTGAATTTGAAAGTCAGCTGAGGTGCTGACAACTGAAGGAACTTGGCTTGAAAGTCAGCTGAGGTGCTGACAACTGAAGAAAGTTGGCTTGAAAGTCAGCTGCAGTGCTGACAACTGAAGGAACTTGGCTTGAAAGTCAGCTGAAGTGCTGACAACTGAAGGACCTTGGCCTGCAAGTCAGCTGAGGTGCTGACAACTGAAGAAAGTTGGCTTGAAAGTCAGCTGAAGTGCTGACAACTGAAGGAACTTGGATTGAAAGTCAGCTGAGGTGCTGACAACTGAAGGCACTTGGCTTGAAAGTCAGCTGAGGTGCTGACAACTGAAGGAACTTGGCTTGAAAGTCAGCTGAGGTGCTGACAACTGAAGGAACTTGGCTTGAAAGTCAGCTGAAGTGCTGACAACTGAAGGACCTTGGCCTGCAAGTCAGCTGAGGTGCTGACAACTGAAGAAAGTTGGCTTGAAAGTCAGCTGAGGTGCTGACAACTGAAGGAACTTGGCTTGAAAGTCAGCTGAGGTGCTGACAACTGAAGGAACTTGGCTTGAAAGTCAGCTGAAGTGCTGACAACTGAAGGACCTTGGCCTGCAAGTCAGCTGAGGTGCTGACAACTGAAGAAAGTTGGCTTGAAAGTCAGCTGAAGTGCTGACAACTGAAGGAACTTGGATTGAAAGTCAGCTGAGGTGCGGACAACTGAAGGAACTTGGCTTGAAAGTCATCTGAGGTGCTGACAACTAGAGTCGAACTTAATTTGAAAGTCAGCTGAAGTGCTGACAACTGAAGGGCCGTGGATTGAAAGTCAGCTGAGGTGCTGACAACTGAAGGAACTTGGATTGAAAGTCAGCTGAGGTGCTGACAGCTGGAGGAACGTGGCTTGAATGTCAGCCGAGGTGCTGACAACTGAAGGAACTTGGATTGAAAGTCAGCTGAGGTGCTGACAACTGAAGGAACGTGAATTAAAAGTCAGCTGAAGTGCTAACAACTGAAGGAACTTGGCTTGCAAGTCAGCTGAAGTGCTGACAACTGAAGGAACTTGGCTTGAATGTCAGCCGAGGTGCTGACAACTGAAGGAACTTGGATTGAAAGTGAGCCGAGGTGCTGACAACTGAAGGAACTTGGATTGAAAGTCAGCTGAAGTGCAAACAACTGAAGGAACTTGGTTTGAAAGTCAGCTGAGGTGCTGACAACTGAAGGAACTGGGTTTGAAAGTCAGCTGAGGTGCTGACAACTGAAGGAACTTGGTGAAAGTCAGCTGAAGTGCTGACAACTGAAGAAAGTTGGCTTGAAAGTCAGCTGAGGTGCTGACAACTGAAAGAACTTGGATTGAAAGTCAGCTGAGGTGCTGACAACTGAAGGAACTTGGATTGAAAGTCAGCTGAAGTGCTGACAACTGAAGGGCCGTGGCTTGAAAGTCAGCTGAGGTGCTGACAACTGAAGGAACTTGGCTTGAAAGTCAGCTGAAGTGCTGACAACTGAAGGGGTGCTGACAACTGAAGGAACGTGGCTTGAAAGTCAGCTGAGGTGCTGACAACTGAAAAAACTTGGCTTGAAAGTCAGCTGAGGTGCTAACAACTGAAGGAACTTGGATTGAAAGTCAGCTGAGGTGCTGACAACTGAAGGAACTTGGCTTGAAAGTCAGCTGAAGTGCTGACAACTGAAGGGCCGTGGATTGAAAGTCAGCTGAGGTGCTGACAACTGAAGGAACTTGGCTTGAAAGTCAGCTGAGGTGCTGACAACTGAAGGAACTTGGCTTGAAAGTCAGCTGAGGTGCTGACAACTGAAGGAACTTGGATTGAAAGTCAGCCGAGGTGCTGCCAACTGAAGGAACTTGGCTTGAAAGTCAGCTGAGGTGCTGACAACTGAAGGAAGTTGGCTTGAAAGTCAGCTGAGGTGCTGACAACTGAAGGAACTTGGCTTGAAAGTCAGCTGAAGTGCTGACAACTGAAGGAACTTGGCTTGAAAGTCAGCTGAGGTGCTGACAACTGAAGGAACTTGGCTTGAAAGTCAGCTGAGGTGCTGACAACTGAAGGAACTTGGCTTGAAAGTCAGCTGAGGTGCTGACAACTGAAGGAACTTGGATTGAAAGTCAGCTGAAGTGCTGACAACTGAAGGAACTTGGCTTGAAAGTCAGCTGAGGTGCTGACAACTGAAGGAACTTGGCTTGAAAGTCAGCTGAGGTGCTGACAACTGAAGGAACTTGGTTCGAAAGTCAGCTGAAGTGCTGACAACTGAAGGAACTTGGATTGAAAGTCAGCTGAGGTGCTGACAACTGAAGGAACTTGGCTTGAAAGTCAGCTGAGGTGCTGACAACTGAAGGAACTTGGCTTGAAAGTCATCTGAGGTGCTGACAACTAGAGTCGAACTTAATTTGAAAGTCAGCTGAGGTGCTGACAACTGAAGGAACTTGGCTTGAAAGTCAGCTGAGAGTGCTGTGACACAACTGGTGGTTGAACTTATTTGTCGGGCTGAAAGTGCTGACAACTGAAGGAACTTGGCTTGAAAGTCATCTGAGGTGCTGACAACTGAAGGAACTTGGCTTGAAAGTCAGCTGAGGTGCTGACAACTGAAGGAACTTGGATTGAAAGTCAGCTGAGGTGCTGCCAACTGAAGGAACTTGGCTTGAAAGTCAGCTGAGGTGCTGACAACTGAAGGAACTTGGCTTGAAAGTCAGCTGAGGTGCTGACAACTGAAGGAACTTGGATTGAGAGTCAGCTGAAGTGCTGACAACTGAAGGAAGTTGCATTGAAAGTCAGCTGAGGTGCTGACAACTGAAGGAACTTGGATTGAAAGTCAGCTGAGGTGCTGACAACTGAAGGAACTTGGTTCGAAAGTCAGCTGAGGTGCTGACAACTGAAGGAACTTGGCTTGAAAGTCAGCTGAGGTGCTGACAACTGAAGGAACTTGGCTTGAAAGTCAGCTGAGGTGCTGACAACGAAGGAACTTGGCTTGAAAGTCAGCTGAGGTGCTGACAACTGAAGGATCTTGGTTTGAAAGTCAGCTGAAGTGCTGACAACTGAAGGAACTTGGATTGAAAGTCAGCTGAAGTGCTGACAACTGAAGGAACTTGGCTTGAAAGTCAGCTGAGGTGCTGACAACTGAAGGAACTTGGCTTGAAAGTCAGCTGAGGTGCTGACAACGAAGGAACTTGGCTTGAAAGTCAGCTGAGGTGCTGACAACTGAAGGAACTTGGCTTGAATGTCAGCCGAGGTGCTGACAACTGAAGGAACTTGGATTGAAAGTCAGCTGAGGTGCTGACAACTGAAGGAAGGAACTTGGATTGAAAGTCAGCTGAGGTGCTGACAACTGAAGGAACTTGGATTGAAAGTCAGCCGAGGTGCTGACAACTGAAGGAACTTGGCTTGAAAGTCAGCTGAGGTGCTGACACCTGACAGCGTGATGTCCTTTCGCTTGACACATACTCGCTTCCAATTTTCCGTTCTTGCTGGGGTCCTAGGGGAATACTTGGGTTTGTCTCCACATGAGACAACCCTCAACATGGCATCTTGGTCTCCTTGTTTTCTCCAATTCAAACAGGCGTTACCTCCAAAAATGCACCCCCTCATTTCCCAATCTTGGCTTACAGGACTCGAATTCCGATATTTCCCCAGTGCGAACCACGGCTTTGCCGCGAATCAAACCGATCCCACTCAGCGCCCCATTCCGGAAGGCCTCGGCGCTGGAAGCGAAGGCTCGCACCAGGTGGACCTGTGCAAGATTGGGTTTCCCTTTGCTCAGCGCCTGAGGAAGCTGGACAATCCTGGAAATACAGGGTCCATTTTGAGAAACTCCCAGTGGTTGGGGCCACACCCGGTTCAGAATCCCAAAGGCCTCTAAGAAACACTTCCTGGAATGTGGGGGCCCTAAGTCTTTTCGCGAGCTTACCACTTTGCACATGTTCTTGCTTATAGGCAAGCACGGGTAGCAGTGAAAACCATCGAAAGGCACAAATGGTATGACCCCGTACTCAACTGCGTCAAATCGATTCCCTGGATAGAAGCTGTGCCGTGGGCATGCAGCAGGAGCAAGCGCTCCGCATACATCAGCGTCATGCGGCTAAGGTGACGCTAAACCCAGCAAACGCTGAGCTCAAACATGGGAGGAAAAATGAACACGCAAGGAGCAGATGCTGGAACGCACCTCGCCAAGTATGCCTACATGTTGTACAAAACATATTTTTGTCAAAAGAGTTGAGCACAAAACCCAGACCGCCCCACTCCCGGAGTTGCCTGTGACTTGCGCAGCATGATGTTGCAGAGGAACTCGAAGACCAGCAGCCGAGGGTCATAGGAGACCTCGCTGCCTCCTTGGAGGATGGATTTGAGAATAATTATTAACCCACATCTGGGGGTTAAATTCATATTTTCTGACCACCAGTCGAGCCGGCAGAGCCGGTCGGAAGGTTCTAAGATGTAAAACAACAGCGCGCTCTCTCTTCTTCCTCTCTTTCTCATTGTCATTCCATTTCTTCTCGTTCTCATTGTCTTTCCTTTCTTTATCTTGCTCTTTCTCTTTATCTGATCTTCTCTTTCCTTTCTTGTCTTTTTATCTTTGCTTTTCTCTTTTTCTTTCCTCTTTGTCTTTCTCTTCTAGTTTTCCTTTTTTTACTTTTTTCTCTCTCTCTCTCTCTCTTTCTTGTATTTTTCCCTTATCTTCTCTTTCCTTCCTTGCATCCTTCGTTGTTTCTTCCGTTTATCGCTTTCTCTTCGCTTTCATTTCTCGATCTGTTTCTCTTCCTTCCCTTTTATCTATCTACCCATTTATTCTAATCTAACTTTCCTTCTCCTCTCGCTCTCATCTACTTGCAAACGACAGCTAGCCTTGACTTAGCGCCAGCACTACGGAAGTTTCACATGATCAGCATTTCTCCACCTAAAATAGAGTATTAGAGGATATTTCTGGAGGGCATTGCAGGATTGGCCATCCTGGTCCAACCCCTCCCCCGTCCCCAACAGCATGAACACGGTTTCAGGCATGTGTTCACCCTCTTAGCTTGCACGCACACACACACAGAGACACACAGAGACACACACACACACACACAAGCGCGCACAAGCGCAGCACGACAAGAAACAACAATCAGCAAAAGCAGCGGCTCTAGTGACGGTGTTCCTTTTGGCTTCGCCAAAAAAAGAAGCATCTTTAAAAGTTTCTCTTTGTTGGTTTCCCGTGTTTGGTTCCCTTTGTTGGTTTCCCTTTAAAAACAAAAGAATACTGAGCCTCAAAAAGGACACACACCCTATGGTTGTCCGTTTGTTGCTTGCGTGAACTCAGAGTCGCCTGTCCCTCTCACATCAGGCACTCGTCTGAGGCCAGTGCTGGGCTCAATGAAGTGCCTCTCCTCGCCTGCGAAGCCGTCGGCTTCGTGGCCGGGCGGAAACTTGGCCTCGATATCTGGCGTCTGACTTGAGATTACCAGGATTACCGAATCGCCTCAAGTCAAAACGGGTGGTGCAGCTGTCTTTTGCCCTCCTTGGCTTCTTGCGCCGGGAAGAAATCATGGAGTTGGTCTGGGGGGTAAGTCGCTCAAAGGACCTAGCGCTACATCCACCTCCAGGGCTCGACAAACGGCCCTGCCTAGCTGCGCTGCGACCTGAGCCCGAGCTCAGAGGACACCAGCACCCAGAGCAGAGGGGGGGTGGGGGGGTGCGGAATGCGCATCTTCCAGGGACAGACCCTTCCAAACCCCTTCTGTTGCCGCCTTACCGCTTTCTTATGGGTCAAAGGCGGCAAAAGGAGCCTTTCGGAATCCAGGTGACTAGTGTCCGCAGCCTGTCGGAATCCACTGGCCCCCTGGCTCGAGGCGGAGTCGGGACCCGGGCGGCTTGAGAATGCAGCGCTGCCGCAGCATCGTGGCTGTGCTCCTAGCCGCTGGGCCAAGCCGCACGGCCAAACCGCGGCTTTTTTGGGCTGCGAGAAGCGGAGGATCGGATCTTTTCAGAAACCTTGGAACAACCCCCAAACTTGCGTAAACCTTGGTCTTTTGGGAAAGGTTCAAGAATCTAGGGGTTGATTCCAACCACCCAAAAAGGGCTTCAAACGAATACGACCAAAGATGCGGAAGAAAGGAAATAGCAGGGAGTCTCTCCTGCAGCTCGGCCAGGCACCGCTGAGCTCGCGCCACCTCGACAAAGGGTTTGGCTGTTTTTTTGCCCCGTCTCCTTTGGTTGGCTTGGGAGACCAAAAGGAGAATCACCCAAAATTGACTCTTTTGGGCTGGGCCCTGCCCAAAATAAGGACTGAACTTGACTCCTATCTTCCAGGTCATCAAAAGTTGATCGCACCTGGAAAATAGAGCACATGATTCTATGTTGTTCCAACACGGGCTGTCCGCTGGTTCCATGTGGGTGTGTCAGCTTAAAAAAAATGGAGTTCCTTTTGGTTCCCCTTAAAGGGCCATATTGGCCTCCTTCCGAGCTGCACACCAATGGAGATCATTTTTTTGCAAGGCTCCCAGAGCTGACCTCCCAAGCCCAAGTTGGTGCAATCGCAGCCACTAAGTTCTGCAAGGATGGTGCAAGGGCCACATGGGTGTTGTGAAGCTATGAGGCTGGTTTAAATGGAAACCAACAGAACAGGCACCATTTCAGGGGTCCCCGAAATTGACACGCACAAACAAACAAACACGTGTTTTTTAGTAAATATTTATAAAGTTATAACAAATGTCAGGGCTTCAACGAGCCAGAGCGAGCGCCACTTGCTCCAAGGCAGCACCCATCTCTCCCCTCCCCTCCCCACCTGCCCGACGCGCACAGTGTACAGCCTTGCGTCGGGCGAACGAACCAAACCAGCGGCAGCTTTTGATCACTCCTCGTCCAAAAAGGGAGGGCAAGACGAACAAAACTGCCCCCCCCTGAAACATCCAAAAAGGGAGAGCCAGAACCCCCCCCCCCCGCACATCCAAGCAGGGAGGGCAAGACAAAACTGGCCCCACAGCCACCTCGGCTCTTCGGCTGCTGCCTTTGCCTTGCCAAGGAGCAAGCCGCCTGCCACCAGCTCCCAAAGCCTGGCTGGGCTGGCCATCACCCCCCCTCTGGCGCGGTTTGGATGCGGGGATCGAATCCAACCAACAGTCCAATCCAAGGCACCAACCAAAGGTTACCTGATTACCTTTTCATCATGCAGGTCAGAGGAAATGGTGTTCCAGGTAGGTTGGTTATACAACAAATCTGATTTACGATTTGGGTGCGGGTCAAACTTAGGCACCAGGATATGGACCACAGGTTTTAGCCCTTGGTTCCATTTACCAGGGCAACACATTTTGGGTACCCTTTTTTGACCCACTGCCATTTACCAGTGGTGTCCTGCAAAACCATTGAAACAAATGCAGCCGCACAATTGGCATATCTTGATGTATCATCAAGGCCTTCTTTCCCTAGAATGACGATGAAAATGATGATGATGGACATGATGACGGACATGATGATGAACATGATGATAGAATGATGATGGAGAAGCCCACCTCTCCTGCAAATCACGACCACAAACGAGCGCGTTTCTTTAGAGCTGCCCAGCTGCGCTTAAGAACCGCCCTGCCAAACGCCAACCGGGCACTAGGGAGAGAAGAGACCCTCCGCCTGGCGAGGTCCGCCGCAACAAGGCGCCTTGGTGGCTGATGAGCAGGCGAGACCGCTGATGTTCTGGGCATGAATGGTACGAGTCGAAAGGGACGTTGGGGATTTTCAGGTCATCCCCAGTCTCAACACCAAGCACGTTGGATAGCGGGGGGTGTACAATTGAATTGGGACTGAATAGAGCCAATGCTGCCTTTTGCAATCTTTTGCAGTGCTTTAGACAAATTCTTCACAACACCCCCCCAACGACCCCAGGCCAAACAACCAACCAACCCACCAACCAGCCAACTGACTAAACAATAAACTAACTAACTAACTGACTGACTGACTCACTCACTAACTAAGTAACCAACCAACCAACCAACCAACCAACCAACCAACCAACCAACCAACCAACCAACCAACCAACCCAACCAATCAACCAATGGACCACCCAACCAAACCAAACAAACAATGAAACAAACTCCACTCTGACCAGATCTGGGCCCCCCGCGGACTGACCTCCTGGATGCTGCTAGAAGGCCTCAAAGCAATGCCATGTCTGAACCGGCAACACGCGACATGAAAGCATAGGCATGTAAATGGTCACTCCGCGCGAAACATACGTAAATATACAAATATTCATAGATATGTGCTGTGCATATATTCAGGCAAACTTGTGCTGATGCACGATGTACTGGCATGTGTACATATTGCACCATCAATTCTGGCCTGTAAAGCAACCAGAATGCTTGCCAACGCACTGTCACGCGCGTGGTAGTGTGGTCAGCCCGCCTGGCGCCTTGAGGTGTGTATCTTCTGTATGTCAGTAGTGGCGCTCTCCGGAATCTGGCAACCTGAAACAATGGATCCGCAATCGATAAATTTCATCAAGTGGCCGTTGCCCCATTCTGCAACGTAGGCCTGCGTAAGTTGCCAACTTGGCTCGGAAACTGTTGCACATGCGCCCGTTCTCACGCGCACCTCCGTACTCGCACAAACACAAACACACACGCACACACAGAGTCAGAGACTAAGAAAAAAGAGAGAAAACAAAAACACACACACACAGACACAATGACACAATAACACAATCATACGCACTCACGCACGCACGCACGCACGCACGGGGACACACAAACGTACACACACACACACGCATTAAGACACACAAACGTACACACAGACACGCACGAACAGAGACACACACGGATATACAACACACAGAGACGTAGACAGATCCACACGTACACGCACACACAGACACAGACACAAACACAAACCCAGACACAGACACAGACACAAACACAGACACAAACACAGACACAAACACAGACACGCACACACACACAGACACACACACACACAGACACACACACACACACACACACATACACACACACAGACACACACACAGACACACACAGACGCACACAGACACACACAGACACACAAAGACACACACACACACAGACACACACAAACACACACAGACACACAGACACACAGACACACACAGACACACAAAGACACACACACACAGACACACAAACACACACAGACACACAGACACAGACACAGACACAGACACAGACACAGACACAGACACAGACACAGACACAGACACACACACACACACACACACACACACACACACACACACACACACACACACACACACACACACAGACACAGACACAGACACAGACACAGACACAGACACAGACACAGACACAGACACAGACACAGACTCAGACTCAGACTCACACTACACAACACCCACATCCGTTTCCAGATGTTCTGCTGGCCAGCCCGCCCGCGCTGGGATCTCCCGCTCCTCCGCCATGAGGGCACTAACCAGGCTGTTGAAGCCTGGAGCTGGGAGCGGTGCGAAGAATTGCTCGGGCTACAAGTAACTCACTTCCTGAGTGGATGGGCCAAAACAAGCTCCCAAACAGTTGATTTACCACTGCCCTGACCTTCCCAAAAGCCTTCAAGTGCAGGAAACTCGGGAAGTGAGGCCAAGAGTCTCTTATATGTCACTTTTCGCAGGTTAAGCAACTGATTGACACGTGGGGCGAGGCCAACACGAATTCAAGCAGACCATTGGATGCCTGAGCGAAGCATGCAGGGCATCAGCTGGAGTCGGGAAGTCGGCTGGAAGCGGCTCTCAGTCTCGTTTGGGGCTGTTCAAAATCTAGGTCCTCCAGTAGAGAGGTTAGAATAAGGCGACCAACTTTTTTCTGCAGCCCCAAAAAAGGGTAAGAGGGCACTACGGCCAAACCTAGAAATGGAGGCTTGGCCAATCCGACTTTCCATCCCTTCCCACTGCAAAGGTGACCATCCCTTCCTTGCGTAACCCGAGGCAAAACACTAAGGATTACATTTTGAACAGCCCAGACTGTGCCTCCCGAAACGCCATCTTGCCAATTCGCGTGAAACGGGGTGACACCTTAGCCGCGCGGTAGATTCGCAGAGCTCGCGGGATTTTGTAAAGTCCTCTCGTAGTGCTCGAAGAGGCGTTGATCCTGGCCCAGGTGCAGCTTGGTTCGCCTCCTGGGCTTCTGGTTCCAGTGGGGTGCCATAGGCTCCTGCACGCAGCTCGACCGCTGCTCGTAGAGGACCCGGGTCTGCTTCCTTCCATTTGCTTTAAGATTCTTGCTTCTTGATAGACCCCCCCTTAAAATTAAAGCCCAACAAGGGAAAATAACAACTTAACAACATTTTCTCAGAACGGAAGCTTCTGGTGCTTCTCCGGAACCGGGGGCTCTCGATCCACCTCCAGCTTCGGCCGCACCACTCGCTTGATCTCCAAGCGGGCCACCGGCTTGCGAGCCTTCGGCGCCTTCAGCAGCTCGGCCTCTTCCGGCAGGAGCTCGGGCATGCTGCCGCTCTTCCAGTGCTTGCCCCCCAGCCTGAGCGAAAAACCGACCTCACGGAAATCTCGGACGATGCCTTCAGACTTCCTACCCAGCCATCCCATTTCCCGGTAGAAAACTAATCGTACCGGAATGAGCCTTCAACCGCCCAAAGGACCATGGCTTGTCTTCTGGCAAGAGCCGGGCCAAGCATTCCCACAAAAACAGAAAGCATTTCTTGGGGCTTGGAACCTTTTGGGACCAGGCCCGGGCCAAGCCTGCTTTTTTGGGGGGCTTCCCCGGTTTTTGACTTCTGGACCCAGTCGCCAGGTCGACTGCTTGGCCAAGCTGTAGAGCAGCTGTGTGGCGTTTTGCTCGGCGCTCCGCTCCTTCCGCGCCGCGCTCTGTGCCAAGTCCCCCGCCGTCTTCTTGCCCAAAGCCTGCGGAAGACTTCACCCCCTTCTCTTTGGCTGGCAGATGTGTAAACTGGGCTGCCCTCAGATCCCCCGCTAAGAGTGAATAACTTTTGGTGGTCGAAATGGAAACTACCACTAAGCACTCAAAGGCTAAAAAGCTAAGGGGATGGCGAGCCACCAACAAAATACTCAAGGCAAATTGCATGGGCAATCAGGGGGAGCGACGTGTTTTTGCTGGTAAGAGGCAGGGAATGTGGGAATGAATTGAGGGGTTCCCTAGGAAACCGCCGGTTGGATGGGACTCGATCTTGTTGTTTTCCCGCTCAGAGCCTACTTCGGCTAAATCGGGGCAAAATGGGGGAGGGGGGGAGGGTTCGGGTTCGCGTTAGGGTGGGGTACGTAATGTTGCCGGGGCATCCGCTCGGCTTCAGCCGAGTTGAAACTTGGCATTGTCAAGAAGCTCTTCACCCCTACGAACCCTTGAGCAAAAAAGCGGGTGGCAAAACAGGGAGTCCCTTAAATGGCTCAGGTTTTCCTGTTTGTTTTTGAGAGTGAACCTAGGAGAATAGCGTAGCAAAAAGCTCATAACCCAAGTCCATGACCACTTTGTCAAAAGGGGAGTTGCATCTGCACATTGTACAATAATTCAAACACTGAAATACCAAGCAAAGGACCAACATCATTTTCGTGAGCTCGACATAGGCCGCCCCAACTTCCACGGAGGCCTGCTCCCACTGCTTGTCCAACTTCCGCCTCTCCCTCGGGTCTGTCTCCAGAGTGAAAAAGTCCTGGGAGTGCCCCAAACGGCCCAAGGCTAGCCCATTCTTTTCAACCATCGTTCTTCAACTAGCTGCTTCCCCATCCCTGGAAAGAATGGGGAAGCTTCCCCTAGACCTGAACACTTCCTTAACCAGAGGCACTACCAAGGACAAACAAGCCCCCACTCACATAAGCTCACTTCTCATCGCCAAAATCAACCCAATCACCCGGCTCTACAACAACCCGGTACCTGCACACCACCTTCAAATACAAAAGAAGCTTCAAAGCTTTCCTCCTTCATCCCCGCCCCTCCTGGGCGCAAATAGAGCCCCGACCCCAAGGGTCCAGCAGCGCCCACGGCACCTGGCTGGCAAAAGCTGGAAGTGAAGCTGCAAAGTTGCAGTCTCGTCTTTTTTTGGACTTCCAACTTTCTCTTGGGCTCGAAAAACCTGGGAGAACCGGAAAAAAACTGGGCGTACCCAACTTTCTCCCGTGTGGGAATACAACAAGTAAGCCCTCCCATTTTGGGATCCAAACCAAAAAAGACACCCTGGCCGGTGCATCACGTTGTCCATATGATTCCCTTCCCAATGGCCAGTTCGTTGTTTTTTTCTTGGGCCAGGCTAGGGAAATTTATGGAAACAAACAGAAGGGTGTCTTCACGAAAAACAGCCTTTGGTCTGGCAATGCTTGCATCACCCTGGTCCCAAAAACCGCCTCTGGTCACTTTAAAGGGGATCCTCTTGGTCCCCGAGAAAAAAGTACCTTGGATTTCCTTCGTAGTTTGTTGGTCCCACCTCGGTTGTTGCTGATCCCTCTGCACAGTTAACTTTGTGCGGGTCCCATTCGGGAAAAAAACCGGGCTCTTTCAACCAAAAATGGTTAAGGTCCAAAGGTCTGTTTCCAATCGCCACAAAGCGAGCTTCCTCTCAAAATAGGTTGACTTGCCCATAGGGGAACGAACCCAGTCCCCTTCAAGGCTGAGGACCTTTGGTCACTGAATGTCACTGAGGGCTTGCAAACCAAAAATGGTTGGCGCGCCCCTTTAATCAAATCATCATCATCATCATCATCATCATCATCATCATCATCATCATCATCATCATCATCATCATCATCATCATCATCATCATCATCATCATCATCATCATTCGAGGGTCACCTCGGAGCTCCCCCACAAGCCCCTAACCCCCAAGCCCCCCGAACCCCCACAACCCCCCCCAACCTGGCCCCCTCACCCCCCCCCCTAACCCACCCCAACCCCCACCCCCCCACCCCCCGCCCGCGCCCCGAACCCAACTCCCGCCTGGCCCTCGAAGCCCAACCGCCCCAAACTCGCCGCCAGCTGGGCGCGGCTCACGGAGCCGCAGGCCGGGCCGAGGCGCAGAAAGGTCTCCAAGATGCCGCCCTGCTGCTTGCCTCCAGAAGGAAGGAGGGGAGGTCTGCGGGGTTGGAGACCTAGCAATTTGGGGGGGTTTAGGGGGACTTGGGAGGGTTTAGGGATTGGGGGGAGGGTTGGGGTGGGGGGATTTTTTTTTTGTGGGGGGGGGCGGGTTGGGGGTGTTAGGGAGTTTAAATGGGGAATGTAGGGGGGATCCCAACATAAGGGTCTTGTTCGTTTTTGTTCACTTGCTGAAGGAGGACCTGGACATGAAAGGTTTACAGTAGAGACCTGGACTGATTCGCTTTAGGCAAGTGAGATTTGTGTGTTGACATGTTTGGCAGGAAGCCAAAAGCGGGTGCTCCAAGAGGTTGGGCTCGAGGTGTGAGAGGCATGGATGCGTCTATACCAACAAGTCCAGGTTGCAACGCAGTAGAAACCCCTCAAACGTGGTATAACCTCCATACCTCTACAACCAGTTCCTGGAACGTCTGTTGAAGCGTCCTGTGACTGTTGGACAGTTGAATGAAACTCAGATGACTAACTCTGTTGAGAAAGGCTTCCTGGCATCGATCTGGGGAAAATCCCTTCAAGCATCAACATCCCTGCAAGACTACCGACCCTCCATGCGAAGCAGGGCTTACGCGAAGCACGTTTTGCTCTCCCCTGGCTTGCGATCGATTTTCTGGTCTTTCGGCAGCTCTTTGCGCTTCCAGCAACCTGCAAATAGAGGGCCATGAAAGAGTAGACATCTCACCAGCCATGACACACATGGCACTTGCGGCAAGGCACACCATTCCCCGATTCGTCGTAGCTCCTCTGCACGCGGGGGATCCACCTCTAGCACTGTGGCGTTGCCGTCAGGCCCGGCAACCTCATCCAAAAACCCATCGAGCCGCCCGCCCCAGCACCATATGGCCATGGGCAAAACCCCGTACCCCCAGTGAACATCCCAATCCCCACTCAAATAGACTGAAATGGGTGGTGCACCTAAACGGTACCATTGGTTCTGAACCATGGCCATATGTTGCCAGAGGCGCTGGTGCATCAGGTTTGTATGAAAGCAATGACGTGTCACCCTTCCCTTGCCCCCAGACCGGTTGCTTGCAGTCCGCAGCTGTTCCCCCAAATGTCGAGCCCTATGTTTGCCACATTGCCAAAACAGTCCAACAAATGAGAACACATCTGCTCAGCACCTGCAAGAACAACTTGGGGCGTGTTCGCGGAGGAATCTGCTAATTAAAGCAACTTGAGTCTTGAGTCGCAACCACTCCGTCGGTGGGAATATCTTGCGTGCCCTGTCCAATTTCCGGAGTGACCGAGTAGTTGTGCCACGGTTGCTTGCAAAGGATCTTGGAGTCAAACGTGTCAGGATGATTTTGGAATTACGAGACCTGAAATAGCTATCCTTGCGCTACATTGGCGCCTGCTCACAGCCCGTTTACTTTGAGTCCGGATCTATGTCGATCGATCCAGCTCATGCAATACCAAAGGGTGGGCAGGAGGTTGGGTGTCAAAAGTTCAATGCGAGCGTGCGGCACGGCGGCCATCACAGTTTCACCTCTTTAGAGGGCCGGATTCCGGCAAAAACCCGCGCGCACGCGAAAGCACGCAACGGGCCGACCTTCACCTGCCCAACTCCGAGCTGGACATAGAAGCTTAACCTTTCGGGACCTTGACAAAATATCTGATCTGATCTGCGCTTCAGTTCGCGCCTTTGCGGTTTTAGGGGGGGCGCTCCACTTTGACGACGTATGGGAAAAATTGGACAGCCGACTTCGGTCCCTTCAGGCCGATTCGCGGGCTGAGTTGAAGCCCAAGTTCCCAAGTTCCCAAGCCTGCGGATTCCTTTGGGCTCTTTCGAGATTCCATGTTTCCACCCATTCTTCCCCGAAGATAGGCCCGTCAGAACTCGGAAATGAACTAGAACCCCAAGAAGTATACAGGCAAAGCGCATCATCCTTCAGTTTTTTTTTGTTTTTTCGGGAACTCGAGACATGAAATGCCGAAATCTCCCCCCGGCGCATCAAAATCGCCCCTCAGCCCTTCGCCTGGGACCAAAGCTCCGCGAGGTCCATGGGTCCCAAGTCCAGTGCCGCCAGGCGCTGGCAGAAGGTGGGGAAGCCCAGGCCTGGCCGAGCGGCCAGCCGAGCAGCCGGCGAAGCTACGGACTCTGAGTGAGAGAAACCAAGATTCCCAACCTTCCCAAGAAAACGAAGCTACTGACTCTGAGTCACCAACCTTCCCAACCTTCCCAACCTTCCCAACCCACGCCCCGCTTCCTGCTTCCCACCCTACGCTCCCGCACCTCTGCGATCCAGGTCGCAGTGCCGGAACCAGGCCTGCGCCGGGGACTCCCCCAGCGGTGCCAGCCTGCGACGGAAGTCCTCCACCGCCTTCATCGCGCCCAGGCTGGGGGGGTCTCCAAGCGATTGACGTCTGGAACACTGGCGATGGTGACTTTTGATGTCAAAGCAAAAATAAATATGTACCACATAATGTTGCGTTCACATAAACTAGTATGTGTAATCTTTGTATTTGCGTGTGCGCCTGTATTTTTGGAGGGACTCAATCAAACGGGTTTCCTCGGGTCTTTGGCTCATCCGTGCTGCTTGGGCCGTGCGCGGCGCTGGCCTGACTGGCAGCAAGCCGTTGACTTTGGAAGTCAACGGACCCCAGAAAACTCGATGTTTGGCCTGGCGAGTGAAAAACAAGGAGGACCCCCAAAGAAGCAAAAACAAAAATAGAAAGGGGGGACTGATTTTTCGGGGAAGAAAGCTGCTCTGACAGAGTGAGCCTTTGGCACGACATGAGGCTACATCTCTGCAAACTGATACCAAGGGCTTGTTGAACGAAGCAAGGCTGAAGGGGACCATGTTGATGAGCTTTTGACCGGAAGAACGCACAGGATTTCCCCTTCAAGCAGTTGCAAGTTGCTGGCAGTGTCCCTGGAAACTGCCACTTTTTGGGAGTTTCCCAAAAGAGAAATAAATGAAGGAAACCCCGAGGTGAGCTGCATGGCAAGTGCCCCAAGTGCGGAGCCGAAAAACGGCTCCTGTCCCGTCAACCAGTCTGCCCAGTCAGCCGGCCTATCCTCGGCCACATCCCTCCGGCGCGGCGGAGCCAATCGGTGGCCTGACTCGCAGTAGCTCACGTGGCGTCTGCGTGTTGGTTTGCTGCGTGTTTGGTCCGCAGTCCTCAAGACAATGGCCATGGGTGTTGAAGAAAATCACCCTTTCTGCATGTTTTTCTTGAGGACACCCCTCTTTGGGCTTGCTTTACATGAACTCCAAAACCATTCAACCCCGTCGAATCGGTGGGTTTAGCCTCCTGTCCACATGGAACCTGACTGAAAAGTCCTGGGTTTCAAAGGCTACCATGTTTGTGGAGCCCCAAACCATTTGGCCCCCCATCGGATCGGATGGCCGCAGGTCGCAAGGAAAACTTCCTGGGACGTCCCGGCGCTGCCCTCGTTCACCAGGCTCTCCGCCGCAAGTATGGATGCCTGCACCTTCTGGGCGTCCTGACATGCCAACCAGCCGTGCAGAAATCGAAAGCTGAGAACGGCCTCTTTCCGTTCTCGGCTTGAAGTGTGGAATTGCTGGAAGCTTCAGTTCTCACATTCCCAGCAAACAGCACACGAGGACACCGGCTTTGTAAGGTGTTCTGCGTTGGCTTCAGAGGCGCCTCAAAGGCACAGGGCCTGAACACCACAAGGCAAAGGTCAACCGGCGGGGGGGTCAATACTCCGGCTCCTCAGCCCGCTGATGCTCCAGCTCCTTTGCCAGAAGCGACGCCTGCGAGATTTTGGCCAGCCCTGCATGGACGCAACATGTGGGCAAAAGTGGGCAGGCATTGAGGAATCGCTTCTCTTTGGTGCTTGCGAGGGTGGCCCAACTGCAACCTGGCCAGTCAACTGTCGAAGGCCGGGGGAATTTCTTGGAACAGGAACGCAACCCAAACCCCCGATGCAACCCGCACTGCGAATTCAACACAGCCGGCAGCCCGTCAGCCGCTGGAGCTCCATGGCACCGCTCGATTGCTCTAACCAGTACAGGGGTGACGGAACAGTTCCTCGCACGTCACTTCACACACTCAGATCTACACGTTCTCAAGGCCCTTTGGAGGATTTAAATCGAGCGGTGCCGTGGAACTCCGGCGGCAGACTTCGTCTGCCGATTTCTTGGTGTTGATTTCGCAGTGGGCCCTTTGGTGGCTACAAATGCACCAAAATGGCACCTTGGTAAATTTGGGTAAATGGAAAGGACTAAAAGCTGCGCAAGCCTAGCTCTTTACTTTCTGAGCCCCACCCAAATGGCGGTGGCCCCCTGCCATCGGCCCGCCCAACAGCCTTGGAGGCCAGCTTGCCGCCCAGGGAGTGATGCAGCGTAGGCCTGGGCGCGATCTATGGCCGTTTCTGTCCTCAGATCCCCCGCGAAAAGCGAATAACTTTTAGTGGGCTAAATGGAAACCCCACTAAACAGCTAAAAAGCTAAGGATCCGGATGGCTGGGAGCCTCCAAGGTTTTCGTGCCTGCCTAAAAATCCCAACATTCGGCCGAGTTGATCAATCATAAGTGCAACTCCGCTGATATACAAGTTTGACATATAGCGGCAACCAACACGCATTATGAAACATTGATGAACAACGTTGATGCTGAATTTGTTTGATGCGGGATTGGTTTAGAATATCAATCCACACTTCCAAAGAGTAGTGATGTGCCCCGTACTCTTTACATCTCTTCACAAACTGGCTTCTGGCGCCCGAGTCCATTTGTGTTGGTAGCTCGCACCTGCCGAAAGTTGTTCAAGCATGCAGCGCAATCTTTGGCACATCAGTCGGGGATAGTAGTTCTTTGGGGGAAGGCATGCCACGTGACTCACTATGACGCGATGGCATGGTTGATTCTACGAATTCGGCGCCAGTTTGCAAACACAACAAGGAATTGCCCGACGCACTTCATTTTGGAGTGGAGGCCTGGCCTATTCCTGTCGCAACAAGCAACGCATAACTACCCCCACCCCGCACCCCGCAAGGCTGGATGTTGGCCTTAGCATCGCAAAACTTTCTGGAGCAACGAACCCTCCGGCTGAACGCCAAAACAGGGTCAACTGGGCATTGCCACTCTCGAGAAGTGTCTTCAAGCTCCCGCAGCAGCCTGTCCTTGGAGCGCAAATGGCGAGAACCTCTGTGCGAGTGGCGATCTGTTTCTACCAACATGAACCTCCAAGACCTATGGCAACCTGCCCTCGATCACAGGGTGAAGCCCTTGATCTCATGGCCGCCTTTGGGCGCGCTAGCGATCTTTCAGTGGGGTTTGCCAGCAGAATTCTGGTGATCCCGATTCAGCTGTCCACGCCGAGGCGCCCAGAATCCCAAAACTGGGTGTGGGTCAAAATCAGGCCACCAGGGGACCGCAGGTGGAAGTCTTTGGTTCCATTTACCAGGGTTCCATTTTGGGCACCTATTTTTGACCAGCCAACTGCCCTGGGCAATCAGTGAAGGTCTTCGAGCCCTTTGGCCCTGAGACCCCGCATGACCCAAAGAAGGCTCGCCTCTACTCTGTCCTCAAGATGTTTGAGACGGCCTGAAGGAGACATGCATCAGACCCGTGAACCAGTCAAACAAACAAAAACAAACACACAAACAAACAAAAACAAACCAACACACACGCACAAACACACAAACACACAAACAAACAAACAAACAAACAAACAAACAAACAAACAAACACACGTTAGAAAACAATCAAACAAACAAACAAACAAACAAACAAACAAACAAACCAACACGCACACAAACAAACAAACAAACAAAAAGACACAAGCAGGCAAACAAACAAACAAACAAACAACCAAACAAACAATCAAACAATCACACAAACAAGCAAACACACAAACAAACAAAAAAACAAAAACCAACAAACACACAAACCAACAAATAAACAAACAAACAAACAAAAAGCAAACAGACAAACAAACAAACAAACAAACAAACAAACAAACAAACAAACAAACAAACAAAACAAAACAAACAAAACAAAACAAACAAAACAAACAAACAAACACACACACACACACAAACAAACAAAAAACAAAACAAAAAACGCACAAACAAAAAACACACACAAACAAAAACAACACACACAAGAATAACACACACACACACAAGAAACACACACACACACACGCAAAAAAGGGGGAAAACATAATGAGAAAGAACACAACAGAAAAACAAACAAAAAAGACACACACACACACACGCATAAATCTGTGTACATATGCATTCATCTACACAGAGACGGCACCAGGGCCCGCGGCCAAAGAGGCCTGGCTGGACCGGACCTGGCGCGAGGGTTCTTTTTGGCCATGCCTGGCGTTGGACTCGGTGAGTATGCAACTGAGACGCTGGATCTCCATTTGGGTTGGCATAGGTTGAGACCCAAAGGACACACCCAAGACGAACGCCAACAAGCTGAAACTAAATCTCGGGCCTTCGTCAACCCTTCAACCCTCAACCCTGGAATGGGTGTCTCGTTCTTTGGTCATTTCCCGGGATCAGATCTTTTCAGGAAACCATCAAAAATCCTTTCCCAGGGAAACAGCTGGTTTTTGAAAAGAACGATGGTTGAAAAGAATGGGGAATCAACCCCTAGAATTTGGGTTGGCAAACAAGGGAGACCAAAAGGACACCACCCAGCTTGCCAATTTTGAGACAAAGCTGAATATCCATTTGGGTGGCCCGTCTGTTTTTTGCAGGTGCCAACCACCCCGCCAGACCCTACCTAAACCAACGGGAAAAAAGGTTTCTTTTGTACCCAGCTGGTGGTGTAGGTGTAGGTGTTGCAGGTGTGGGATATCAACGGTCCCTCCATTTCCGTTCTTGGACCTCCAAAAGTGGCTTTCTGTTCTTGGAACCCACCAGCTGTTGAGATAAGAAGGGGTTTGACCCGCGTTCCGCATTGCAACCCCCACCACACCCCAAGACTCTAAACGCAAACAACCTGAGACTAAATCTCGATCAGCCCTCCACCGGCCCTTCGTCAAACCTTCGTCAACTCTTGACCCTGAAATGGGCGTGCCGTTTTTTGGTAATTACCACTTTTCGGGTTGGTTTACAGGGAGACTAAACGGGTTGGTTTACAGGGAGACTAAAAGGACATCATTCAGCTTGGAGGTTCCCCAACTTTGAGCCAAACAATATCCATTTGAGTGGCTCGGCTGTTTGGTGAGTTTGGCTTCCCCAAAAGGACCAACCAATAAGGGGGTTTCGAAAAAAGATGACATACCCATATCCGTTTCTCAAGCTGGGAAACTCTGGAAGGTCGGAAAACTAAACTGGCAAATAGCTTCTGACTTTTGGCAGTGCTTGTATACCCTATCCTGAACTAAAAAGCGAGTCC